GCGATTCCACGTTGACGTATCAGCTCGAGTGTCTGCGGAGACAAGCGTCTCTTCGTGACCTTAGGACTCTTGGCTTTCATAGCGCTAACGTGAATATATCCAACAAGTCGGTCGTATTCTTCGTTGATGTTGTCGACAACGGTATCTTCCCAAGAGCTGACAGTGATATGAATACATCCTAGTTTATGGTAGATCTGGGACTTCGTTGTTTGAATTTAGCTGCTTTCTCTCCCCTCCTCGAAAGGCGGAACGTTGTGCGAAAAAGGCGATGGTCTGATCAGGTGTGGAACTTAGAAACAACAGCGACATCGGTCAGGCATAACCTTCAAATTACCAAGATGTGGTCTATTTCGTTATGGTGCTCTCCATCGGGAGACTCCCACGTCCATCGCTGAGAAAGAGGCTTTTGGAATTGCGAGTTACCATGGATCGTTTGGGTCGTCATGATAAACTCAGATAGCCTCTCACCCTGTTCATTCCGTTCTAGTCCGTGGGTCCCTATGTGACGTTATTAAGACGTTCTTCTAGGTCCAGTTTTTGCGTTAATATCTCCGACAATGACCTTGAAGAATGTATGATCTTCTCTGAAGAAATTTTCGAGGTCCATCAAGACGCTTCGACTTCGTCTTCGTCATAGCTTGATGTTGTTGCGTAAGCAACGAGGATGGTCAAAGCCGGCGTAGAACCACATCGTTTCAACCGTAATCGTCCAATACCGGTTGTTGATTATAAGGAACAAATTGTAAACCTGATCTCATTTGCTGGAGAGGAACTTTTCATAGGAGCGTTGGCAACCATTAGAAAGCTGAGACTTCGGCTACCGCCTCACTGCCGGTTTTCAAAAACACCCTTTTATGACGCCGTGATCTTCACGCAAAACTAGCGGATATTTTTTGCTAGAAAGAGCTCTTTCTCTGGACTTTTAGCAGTCATAAGATAGCGTAGTGCTTCCGGGTGCTCATGTTCTGTTATATCCTCGAAGGACCGTTTCGCTGGAACGCAGCAGGTAGAATAAGGTGAACTCGATGCGTGAGAAAGTACGATCGGGGGTCATTCGTGTCGCGGTGAGTGTGGTGGTCACGTGACTGCTGACGCAATACTTTGCTGCCGAAATACTTCTCTAGGCGGTTATAGGATCGAGAAAACATGTCATGAGGAAGCACTATGTATAAAGTACGACTCTACTACAAAAAAAAACTTTCAAATACTTTATCCTGCCGTAAATTCGGACATCAGTCATCATTATTATATCATTGTTGTAATTCAGGAGGCCAGAACTTCCTAATTACTCAAACAACTTGAACGCGTCATCACCTGATCAAAATTAAAGATTACAATGGAGGCGCGATCTACCTCCCTATCTACCGTGTAGTCCAAGTGATCTACCGCATTGCGCGTTGAACATGTGAGGTGTGGTATCCAGATCAAACGAAGGACTGTGATACTAAAGACTTTCTCCACAGTTCATGCGCATCGACAAGACACGCTCATGTTAGGAATAAATCGATCATCGCGTCAGCAGCTATTCACGTGGACTCCTCCGTCAGCCGGTCTCGCGTGGCCAAGGGTCACTTATACGCACATGGCAACCCAACTTATTTTGTCTGCTGCGTTTTGAAGAAACGGTCTTTTCAGAATGTAAACACATCGTTGGCATAAGAAACGATTATGCTACCAAATGCTTGAAGTAATACTTCAATGAAAGAGCTGTACTCAGCGAGAAATATGCGAGTCTTTAAAGCAGAAAAGCTCCCCCTATAGCGACGCCAAAAAAGATTCTTCAAACCGGCGGCGTTGAGCAGTAGCTTGAAATCTCATCTTTCGAGCGGTTACCAAAACTCATATAAAAATTTCTTCTCCACTAAATAAGGTCGGTTTTCCATTTGTTCTCTTAAAATTGAAAGAACATACATACATACATACATACATACATACATACATTACATACATATATACATACATACATACATGTATACATACATACAATACATACATACATACATGCATACATGCATTCACACACACACATACATGCTTACATACATACATACATTACATACATACAGATACATGCACACATATATACAAACATACATACATACATACATTACATACATTACATACATTACATACATTACATACATACATTTCATGCATAGATACATGCATACATACATACATAATACATAAATGCATACATACATACATACATACATCACACTACATTACATACATACATACATACATACATACGAGATGCATACATGCATACACACACACATACATACATACATGCGTACATGCACCATACATACATTACATGCATTACATGCATACATACATTACATACATTACATACATTACATGCATACATACATACATACATACATACATACATACATACATACATACATACATACATTACACTACATTACATACATAAATACGAGATGCATACATACATACACACACATACATACATACATACATACATACATACATACATACATACATTACATGCATTACATGCATACATACATTACATACATTACATACATTACATACATACATACATACATACATACATACATACATACATACATACATACATACATACATACATACATACATACATACATACATACATAAACATACTAAAGGATAAAGCTCTCGGCGGTCATCAATCCCTTAGGGATTTGCGTGAAATTGTCTTCAATTTTGGCTTCAATTGAGATGATTGCATTTATATCTGACCTTCAACATGACTCGCGTAGTCTCCCGCTGTATCGCGTGAGTGCTGTATCCTCCCAGACAAGCCTGAGACCAGTCTGGTGCCGATTTACCGACCCCGGAGGGATGGATGGTTGGTGAGCCATGAGCGCAGATTGAGCAATTGACCTCGTGTGCGACGCAGAGCACCTCGAACCACTGCGCCACATGCGCTCGTTTTCTTGTATTTTACACTGTTCATTATACGAAATCCAAATTTAGATTCATAAAAAGGGCAAATATTGTTTAGCACCTGCTCTGTGGCACTATGTGCATTCGCCTCTGCGTTTTTAATAGCTTCATTAACAGTTGCTTTTGTCCTACTATCTGTGAAAAGACTAGCAAAATAAATCAATAAAGAGTTCTTACATAACTTCTCAACAGCAAACTACATACCTTGAAAACCTCACATGACTTATATGAAGCAGCCATACAAGTATTAACCGGAGCGTTCCATCTGAAAGCCGTTTAAGCACAAAAGTTACATGAACATTGCATTGATGTAACTCACGAATTTGATTCTGCATCGCTCGAACGCATGTAGGTTCTATTACGCCCAAGGTCTAAGCTTGTAATAGATCTGGATGGTACATCATCACGTTTCTGACGGACTAGATGACAAACGATCTGTGTAGTGTAGAGAAACAGAAAGAAAAGAAATGAGTTCTAGGAAGCTGGCAAGAAAGCTGCATGTAGAAATCATAGGTTTTTTCTAGATTTCGTTAGGTGTGCAAATGTTTTTGAATTTGAAATCAGGTACTCACAACAATGACGGCTAATTGCGGCTGGCAGACGGTTTGGATGTTATAATGGAACGGCTCGTGAGAGACAACATCAAGTTATTTAACAGCGGAACGTAGCACTAATCGCTTATATATCCACTTAATATGTACTGCCAACAGATTTCAAATCAAATGGGCCATCAGTTGTTTTCGTTGGAGGAAGCACTACTTTTGGTGAGCAGTCTGATCAGCGCAGGTACGCGTGAGCCGTTTTTGCCACACTTTGCAGCTTAAAGGTTCAACTAATGCTCTACATGACATTTGGAGTTACTAAGGCTTCTACAGCTGAGAAACGTTGATTATGTGGCTTAGGTGGCTTCCTCTGTTTGTTGCCTGTTTGACTATGCTATCGTCTCTCTCGGCTGTCACGGTTTTCTGCTTTGTTCAAATGTCTTGATTGTCCTCGTCCTACTGCTTCGATTGAATCACTCGTTCGGCCGCTGTGGTTGGATGCTTCGATCGACGGCTGCTATTAGAGTACAGTTTGAATATAAACTGAATAGATCCTTTCATTATTATTTAAGCCAACTTGTCATGTAGTCTGGTAAGGGCTTATGTACAGCCCGATACACGTGCTTCGTTCTTACAGACTCGTCTGTCGAGCAGAACCCGTCGTCTTTCGATATTTTTATAGTCAGTCCTCCCGGCAGCTCTGCTCCCTCACAGAGGGTCATCGGAAACGAACGTTTTACACTCTATGTCAAGTGAAATTTTCACTCAAGACAGAGTTTTGAGCACTCGATTGCTCTTTGGCTGGTATTTTTATCATATTATACCTTTATGACCACATGACAAGTTGGCTGAAATAATAATGGAAGGATCTATTGAAATTTGAGCGTGGTCTTAATAAAGCAGTATAATATGATAAAAATACCAGCCAAAGAGCAATCGAGTGTTCAACACTCTGTGTTAGGTGAAAATTTCACTTGACATAGAGTGTGAAACGTTCGTCTTTGACTCTCTGTAAGGGAGCAGAGCTCCCGAGAGAACTGACTATAAAAATATTGAAAGACGAGGGGTTCTGCCCCACTGACGAGTCTGTAAGGACGAAACACGTGTATCGGGCTGAACAAGAGCCCTTACCAGACGACATGACAAGTTGGCTTGAATAATAATGAAAGGATCTATTGAAATTTGAGCGTGGTCTTAATAAAGCACTCAAAATAAAGGTATAATCTGAATACATACGCCTACCTCCTTGCTACAATGTAGGGCTTAATGCGGGGCGTGGGTCACTGACGAGGAGCATGAGACCTCCAAAATAGCGGTGTACGGTTCTGACTTACCAACTTCGGGCAAGGCTTTGAACATTTTTAAAAATCAACCCATTGATGTAGAGTGATGTAAAACTCTCGCTTCAGGCGAGACTAGAAGCCGCACCTTACTCTTTCCCGAAAGCGCGTGCTCTATCCATTACACGAAGTGATGCAGAGTGATGCGCAATACATTCGCATCAGGCAGGTCTCGAACCCGCACCTTACTCTATCCGAGAGTGCGCGCTCTGACCCATTGCACTACTGACGCCCATTTTATCCATCACTCTTTCTACGTTGCAACGCACACCGTCAAAGGTATGGCACCGCTAGTCGGTATCGACATCGATCCTCGTCGTGTTGACGGTTGGCGGCTGACAGATAGATGCGTTGTAACGTAGAAAGAGTGGTGGGCAAAATGGGCGTCAGTAGTACAATGGGTCAAAGCACGCGCTTCCGGATAGAAAGAGATGTGGGTTCGAGTGCCGTCTGACGCGAAAGCTTTGTCCATCACTCTGCATCACTGAGTATACGTGTCAGATAGCTTGGCATTGGTGGACATCGAAGCAAAAGAAGTTATGTTCGGTCGAAAAAGGCTGCCACCACCTCCCTTTGGCGAGTGAGTGTGTGCGACGTGGTCGCTTGTTCGATTGATTGTTTCGATTTTTCATTCCACGTCACTGTGAGATTGAGATAGTGTGCGTTACTCCATTGGAAGCACGTTGAATGACAATTCGCTTATTCGTCTACTCATCAGTGCTCAATTGTTGACCGGTGATAAAGTATGATCAGACGGTTATTGCTGTTGATCAGCACTTATTGTAAATACTGATCATATTTTCTTCGACAAATACGTCGGCTAATGTTTCGACGTCTGCGCCTTCTTTGGAGACGATGATCAGAGTCTCTTGACCATAGTCATTCGTCCTCGTTGTAGATTTTCCGCCTTCGTTTTGTTCGAGTCAAATTTTCTTCGCTGGTCTGTTGTTCGAATGAAGAATCTCATTCGGCGATTATCACATCCACAAGATGGAGCGTATGCTTATTAGCTTATCACCCGATGATACGATTTACGTTTTCTCCTGAAACGATTCCTTTCTCCGAGCAATGATTTTCCATAAGAACGCTAACTCTCTCGAAATTTTACATCTGTGGCTATTGCGCTACGTGCTCCTTTTATGAAAAGACCCTTGAAAAACGCCGTAGCGTCAAAAACGAAATAATTTTGCACTGGCCGCGCACTTTTACTACTACTTCACTGGAAACACGAAAGCATATGGACGTGTATAGGCCATTTTGTAGTACCAAAGTGATATGTTTCACCCTGGATTTTCTTTCAGTGCAAAGAAGAAGCCTTAATTGAATAAGATAAATTGCACTCCACATGTAAGTCGTCTCAGTGCGATAGATCGATCATTGCAGAACGCCGTACCGAATCTAGCGACTTAAAAGTGCAATAGAAAGCCTATGTTGAGCAAAAGGCGTCGTTTCTTTATTTGTCCTGCAGTGACAAAAAGGAACCGATTTGTTATCTTCGGACAACACATCTTACAAAAGCTGGTATCATTAAGGGATAATTCAGAGCGCCAATATATAATGTAGACCAATTCTATGAACTCGGCAATAGCAACCAATCATCTTCCTTTCTTGATTGAGCTGGTAGCACGAGGTTGTTGATAAATTTTTGCTCGTCTAGAGTCGATTGTATATATTATAACCCTCCGTGTTATCCCATTGTAATTCCTGCTACTACAGTATAGATTCCGCGAAAATAATAAATTACTCTCAACGGATGATTAGTTAATTAGCATACCATACGCCTCTTTTTCTACTATATATAAGCATCACCTAGTGAGCTTACTCATTCGAACGGTGCTTAATCGAAGATGACTTGACTCGAACAAAACAGAGGCAAAGACCCACAAGAACGAACGGTTCTGGACAATCAAATCGAATCTTTTGTCTTGGAAGACGGAGATGTCAAAAAGTCAGTTGATCAAATTTCTTTGTATTAACCTCTTCTTGAAAATCTTGCCTAAGGGAAATGCATTTTCCAAAAAAAAGTATTTCACAAATTGATGGATGCGAACTTTATGAAAGCTCACACATAATACGTGCTAAAAATCCTTAATATAAAATTGTTCTTAAAATCGCACATAATGGAATATGTGTTTTCAAAGTGCAATTTTGGTGAGACACCGAGAGATATGCGAGGAAAAAAAAATAAAATGCGTTCTTCATTCATGGATTCAGCTTTCCTATGGAAAAGTGAGGATTCCACACCACAAGACGTTTTTTTTATAAATAATTTTCATTTAGTTTCTTCAATAGCAATCTGCCTTTTTGTGCAGACAAAGTTTGCTTCCAATCAAATTTTCATCTAAATTATCACAGCTGCGGGGTTGGAACAACGCACTCCTAGAGCGAGGCAATATCTTTTACGTTAGTAGAACGTACTTTTGAGCTTTTTTTGCAAACACCGCTTAGTTTTAGATTTTCCCTATATTAGATTATCAAATAACTATAAAATACAGGCAAATTATGAAAAAATGTTATGTACAGCTAAATTTGCTTTCCATTCCGAAAGGATGTGGTTTTCTTATTGAGACATAGACTCATAGACACATAAAATTCGGGGCTCGACTACCGGCCACCACATTGTCAGTAATTTCATCGTCTGACTTGGGGTTATTTATTCCTCAGCGGCAGCTCCTTTATAGAGGATTACTTAGCCCCAGGGAATCGGCTGAACCGAGAGAAGGTGCTACATGAGTGCCAGTAGGACGAAACAGGGGCCTGTATAGCACCAGCCCTAACAGCTCAAAACATGTTATAAAAACATAGGCAAATTAGGAAAAAATGATATTCTTATCTTCCTTCAAATTTCAATTGTTGAAAATCTTTATCAGATTGTATCTTACTTCTACGATCATCCACACCCTCAATATTCGATGTCTTCTTTTATACTAAAATGACTGCTAGTTAAATTTAGCCTACAATATGCAGAAATGTACGCAATCGAATTGAAATGGAGCACACGCACAAATCTTCTGGAACTATTCGGGTTTTTACTTCGCGCCTTTTTTGTAGAATCCTTCTATGCTTTTTGTAAAAAACGTTTCGATGCGTTTGAAATGATTAAAGCACGCTTTTAGCATTGTGAAGAAGGCAGAATCTCTATAAGGAAGTACCGACAATGATTCATACGACAGCATCGTGAAATGAACTCAAGTGTTCTGATAAAGTTGACAAGTTACTAGATTTTTTGGAGTGGCAGAATAAACAGATCTGTCAAAAGAGAAGTTCCAGCTAGAAGCTAAAGGCTTGTCAGTGAAAAATAGAGCATGAGACGAGGTAAAATTATCACAAACACCGGAGTTGGAATTACATGCACTTCGGATGCCTAATACCGTCGGCTGCCAGACTACTCTAGTTATACATAAATGGTTTAGTGATAAGACAATCACGAAATTTACTGTTAGCATGGAAAGATAACGCTTTTTTCCTTCCTAAAGCTTCCAAGAATATTGAAAAGAAAAACAAAAAACACTTTTTCCAAGTTCACCGCATTAATTCTAGCATGCATTGACTGCGTCATCACTATTGCAACATAATTTCTGCATCATCTTGTGATTTCGACTTGTTAGAAAAACTGATATTTTGTAGCAGAGATTCCAACGTCACCCATAGATTATAATCTTAGACTACTGTTCAATTACTAAATGAACGTTCGAAAACAAGCCATTGCTTTTACTATCCAAAGCTAGGAAAGTTGCTTCATACGTTCAGACAGTGGCAGCTGGAGCGTAGTCAACGAAGCTTCTCTTCGAGATTCAATGGCGTGTTAGCTGAGATTGCGATTCTACAACTTCAGGCACCGCCTGTTAATATTTTGAATTTCATTTTTTGAGTTTATAAAGCTTTAGTTTCTCACATTGAAAAGGAAGCGTGCGTTCTCACAATTTTCTTCACTATGCTAAACCAGCAAATCGATTGACTCATCAACATAGTTGAAAAAATTCTTCCCACTTTACAGAATTGCCGTATGGAACAACAGCTCGAAAACCTTACCTGTCGTTTTAGCAACTTTGTGTATTTAAGTGTTACTGTATGATGAGTTGGATTACCAAACATCATGCACAGTTGCCTGGTTATATTATTTCTGGCGAAGTAAATGTTCTTCGAAACCGTAAGAAACTCACTGCCAAACTCTGCCTTTCTAGTCGGAATGAGGATTCATAGAAAAACTTAGAGTGAGGTAAAAGATTTTTTACATTGAAAAAACTGTGCTGCGAGATTGATTGTAACTCGTCAATTCTACAACACTAGGATACTTTTTGCACCAACTTTTTTTGATGCAAGCAAATTCTTCGTCACATTCATTATCTTCCACCTATCTTGTCATTAGCTAACAGAATAGATGAAACCCAGATGGATAAGAATAGATCCACAAACCAGAGTCAGTAAAGTTGTCAACTGACTTTTCAATGCACTTACCAATTATCGTAAGAAAGCATGAGCTTAGTTCGATAAACATCCGCCTTTTTAAGAAAAGTCGATTTGACCAGTGATACCTCACCATAAATATACACTTTTTTGTCATTGATTACTACAAACTAGCAGAAATGATATTCAATCGTGAATGTTTTCAGAAACATCAATATTTTTGTCTGCCCTCTTCGTCTGACGAAGTCACTTTGAATTCTTATTCAACACCGTGAAAAATTTTTTTCAAGACCTCCGCCAAAAAAACGAAATACCCTGATGCAGTATTTCTTCAGACGTTCACGACTGCTTTTACTGAATTCTTAACAGCTTTCTTTTTTCAAGAACAAGCTGAAATATGAAACGCTTACAAACTCCAATCGAGAAAGCATTTTTTTGAAATGTCTCGTCCTTCTGCTCTTACCAGTGTTTGGATGTGGGACAATGTAGCCGGTCATGGTATAAACTAAGGAAACTGTAAAGTGGAACAATGTAGAAGAAGATTCTCAGTGCATAAGTGCATGCTACCTCTCTAAAGTGTCTTGGATCATAATTTTGAATTTTCCTTAACAATTCAATAATTTTAAATTTGAGGTACATTGGAACTGTGAATACAAGGTATCTGTCTAGTTTCAGTCCTTTTTGAATGTGGCGAATCCTTAAGCTAAAAGCGCTTTTAATTCCTAGGTGCTCATTCTTCTCTTTCCTAAAGTGACCTCTACTAATCCTCTACTTTATTGAAGGCGTAACTATTCGTGACTATTCTCAAAAGTTAGAAAAAAGGCA